GTGAAGAGAATTTTGAAGTATGTGAGTGGAACTTACAACTATGGGTTGTTATATTCTCATGGCTGTGAACCAGCTCTGACTGGCTACTGTGATGCTGATTGGGCTGGTAGTGCTGATGATAGAAAAAGCACCTCTGGAGGATGTTTCTTCTTGGGAAATAATCTGGTTTCCTGGTTCAGCAAGAAACAGAATTGTGTGTCTCTCTCTACTGTTGAAGCTGAATACATTGCAGCTGGTAGTAGCTGTTCTCAAATGATCTGGATGAAACAGATGCTTACTGAGTATAATGTCACACAAGATGTTATGACATTGTACTGTGACAATCTGAGTACAATCAACATTTCCAAGAATCCCATTCAGCATAGTAGGACCAAACATATTGACATAAGACATCACTTTATCAGAGACCTTGTAGAAGAGAAGACAATCAAATTGGAACATGTTGCCACTGAGCTACAACTGGCTGACATTTTTACCAAGGCTCTTGATGCAAATCAATTTGAAAACTTGAGGGGTAAGTTGGGTATTTGCCAACATGAGGAATTGTAGCAATTAATTTTGCTTAAAACAAGGGTTAAAGGAGTTATGCTTGCTCTGATTGGGTTAAAATTATATTTTCCCATTTCCTTCAATTCTTTTAAGAAGTTGAATAGACACTCCTTTTCTTCCTTCCCCTCTCGTCACCTCATCAAAACCCAGTCTCTCAATCAGAATTTTCTCTTCAGTTGTTGTTGGTCCTCTAAGACTGTCAAAATGTCTCAAACACCATCATCATCCAATACGATGATTTCAACCTCTTCCTCTGATCAAGATTCTAGGACAATCTCTTCTTGTCAGGACTCTGAAGTCCTGGAGATCTCTTCTCTTAGAAAAGTGGAAACTAACCCCACCAAGGTCAAAGAGCTGAGAACAAGACATGCAGGAAGGTCCCAAGCTTCTGCCTCTGGTAATTCATCTCATCCTTCTTCCTCAGTTCCCCCTGAAATTGCAAATAGGGAAGGGTCTGCCTATGTTCGTCAAGCAATAGCTAAAATTGTCTCAAGAATTCTGAATGAGAACCACTTAGTTCCTGGCATTTCTGTTCCTTTAAATCAAGAAAGTTCAAATGCTGAAACAAATCCAGATGTCTCTAAGGATGTTGAGACATCAGACAAAGAGAAGAATGCTGACATTGCTCACAAGAAAAGGAAGAAGCCAGAATCCTGAGTCTGATGACAGTGCTTAAAGGTTGGTGGAGTTGCTGATTGGTGGAGTTGATGCTGGTACCTGGTAGAGTTTGGAAGTGTGTTCAGTTTTTGTTGCTGCTCTCATTACTTTTCTGGATGACTGTATAACTTTTAAGAACATGTATCTTTGGCCCATTTGTGGCTAAAGAGGGGGAGATATATTTTGGTACTTTATTAGACATTCTATTTTTCTGCAGTCATATTTATTCTGCTGCTATCTATCTCTGATTGCTTAGGGGCTTTAGCCAAAAATCTGCCAAAGGGGGAGTTTGTAGTTGTTTAGGTATTGGCATGCATTTTTGGTAAAACCAGGTGTATGAATGTCATGACTGATGTCATAACATTCTAGTTTAGTATGTACTGATTCATTAGGTACCTTTGCAGAAAAATATTGTCATACAGGTACTGATGTTTATGAGTGTGTATCTGAGCATTTTGCAAAATGATCACATTTACCTAAATCAGTAGACAGGTTTTCAGATGTTATAACAGATGTTAAGACATCCTGTTTTGAACTAACAGTTATGCAGTTTGGTTAATTCTGAATTTTTTCAGGAAAATGACTCAGTCTTTCCAGAACAGAATCCTGCGTTTTCTTTGGGTTAACCTAGCTCAACCCCAACCTGGTTGATAAAGTCCTGTGACCTAGTCTTAAGGACAAACGGAATTAACCCTAGCTTTTTGTGGAAACCCTAACTGAAGATGCAGATGCTATATATTCAACAGGGCTGCTGTTTTGAATGCAATCCCTTTTTGACAGAAGATCATTTAGAAGCTGTATAGTTTTTACTATTGTAATCCAAGCAATTATCATTGTGATAAGTGACTTGGAATAGGTTTCAATTGTAAGGGTTGTGTAACACTCAAAGCTTTGAAGCAAGAGTGTTTGTATGTCTCTTGACTAAAGCTGTGAAGCAAAGTCAAGTTAGGTTTGTGTATCACTCAAAGCTGTGAAGCAAGAGTGTTTGTGTTGCTTGATTAAAAAGCTGTGAAGCATAATCAAGTGTATATTTTGAAGAGTGTCTTCAACAATTCATTAGTCAAATTGTTTTATGTATCACTGCTGTGATTGAGGGGGAGTGAGTAGGAACTCAGGTTTAAGTTGTACTTAGATTGAAGTTGCATTGGGTAGGTCTTAAGTGAAGGAGATAAACTGGTTGGTTTATTCCTGAATTAATATCTCTTATAGTGGATTTCCTCCCTGACTTGGTAGCCTCCAGAGTAGATGTTGTTGCACACTGAACTGGATAAACAATTGACTGTGTTCTTTACTGTTTTTGTATTTACTGTCTTATAATAAGTCAGATACGGTGTCATAACATTGAACGTGACATTGAGTATCTGCAGCCAGAATTTCACTTTTTATCATCTTAATAACATGAATTAAATTTACTAATTTTTTATACTTTTTAAACTTAACAATAAAAACAATTACTTTTTATATTTATATAATTTAATAATTATATTTAAAAAATGGGTATCATCTTAGAAACTTAATTTAAAATTATGCATTAAAATTATTTATTTTTATTACAATAGTGGCAATTTTTCATGACCAAACGTAAAATAGATAGTATATTAAAATCAATATTTCACATAATTTTGTCAAATAAAAAATAAAACAACTGTATCAATTTAGCATTAATTTTATTTTTAATTAAAAAATGTATCTTTGAAATTTTAAAATAAATCATTAATTATATTATAAATGCATTGTTATATCAATGGTAATATTATTGAATAAAAATGCACATCTAATACTAGTATAAATGCATATTTGTTTATAAAACCATATTAATAAGTATAAAAATTGATTAAAGAAATGAAAAAAATTATAAAATTAAGACACACGAACCACAATAAAGTTAAGAAGGTCACAAATTAATATTAAAAAAATTGAAGTCTTTGAAAACTCTCATGCTTACGTATTTGAATGTAATTTTATATATTGTAAATAAATGCATGTAGTTTTCAAAGTACCGAGACAATATATAGACACACTCAAAATGATCTTATAAATTTTATGTATTTTAAAATGTTTCTTAAAATCAATTTTGGTCATTAACTAGTCGATTAAGAAGCATCATAATCATAACTAATTAAAATTTGTATTAATCAACTATAAAATGAGTTCGTCACCTTATCATTTATAAATCCATAAGAGAGAACACTTTTATATTTGAGACATTTCTTTAATGAGTAACACATCTTTGTGATACTACATATTCATCAAAAATCTTAAGATAATAAATATATGAATTCTATTATTTATAAATGCTCAATCTCCATATTTCTAACCAGTCTAAAATTCTCTTATATAAGAGAGATTTTATGCACTTTTTTAAGTACCAAATAAGATTTTATATTTTTCTTTTACACTCATTCTCTTGTTAGAAACTATTTTTATACATTATTTTTTGTTTTAATATTGAGAGAACAAAATAATAAGAGTTCTATAATTCTACTGTGTTGTAATTTTAAATCAACAGCTTTGTTCTCTTGTGACATTATAAGTTATATAAAGGTTATAAGTTAAACTTGAATAAAATATTGATGAAAGAAGGTTGATGGTTGATTATGTGATAAAAGTTTTTAAGTAGAAATTTAAAGAACAAACTTTGTAGAACTGAGTTAAGTCACTTTGTAAAACTGAGTTAAGTCGGATAGTTTAAAGTCGAACAGATATAAATTTTAATGTGTCATTTTCTAACTTTTCTCTTTTATATTTAAATGTGTCCTTTTCTAACTTTTCTCTTTTATATTTAAGCAATTGCACTTAATTCTTTGCTTCATCTTTTTTCTTAAACCTAAAATTCATATAAAAAAAACTTAGAAAAAACATAGAGCACAATTCACTCTCTTTGAAATCACTTGATCAACATTATTCATTTGCACAGTTTCCAATTTTTCTTCACAAATTTGTCGTGCTTGACAATTTCTCTTCATCATTTCAACATGCAAAAAGGTTAAGATCCAAATTTAACCATCAAATCATTTAACATTGTAGGAGTGATAAAAAAAGGCACAATTCAACGGATACATACACATACATGCTGAGAACAACTATCCAACACATTCCATAACACGGATCTATCTAGTCTACTCATAAATTGTCTCTCATTATTCTTCAATAAAATCATATTAATTATCGAAAGATATGAGCACTTACCAAATACCACTACTACATGATTAATTATAAAATATTACTCTAAAAAAACTCATTATTATCCCACATTGTTAAGATCTCCCATCACATGATAGGCTTTGAAACAGAACCACCTCATTTGAACCCTACAACACCTCACAAACAATGGATACCCTACCTTCATTTTAATTTCTTGAATACATATAATCAACTATTTTTCTTTTCATATCAACAATCTGATTTCTTTTTTCTTTGTTGCACCCTCTATAACCCCTTTAAGTTATAACAAAAAAAAGATATCTTTAGTTTTTCACCAACTTCTTGTAAACTACTTAAAAAGGACAGCCTCATCTTTTTCACCCCTTCCTTCAACGTTACTCATATCCTTTTCTTCTTTAACCACTAACTTTTGGACATTTCATCTTTATCACTTGTAAAAATTAACCATATTTCTTCTTTGAATCTCTCCTAAATGCCATGTTTATGAGAATATAATACATATTTACAGTAGCATTGCTGCGTCTGAGAAGGTTATGCAAATTCAAAGACACTCATACTCCAAAAAAAAAAAAGGAATTATGTGGTAGATATATTTCACAACGACAACCATATTCTTTTGATCTTGAAATTCAAAGGACTTCCCCAGTCATAAATCTGTGACCGAGAACAGTCTCCACAGTTGGTCTCTTTCGGAAGTCAGCATTAAGCATTGCCTGGAAATCATGAGAACAAACAACACCATGAACATTTTGATATAGCTACTGAATTGGAAATTCACACTTGAATTTGATGTAGCAATACATATTTCAACGAACCAAAACATGCAAGCAGAAAATGCATCACATACAGTTTATACATAAATCACATCTACAATCGAAGACAGAAGGGTAAACTCCGCATATGTTGTTTCTAAGCTATTTGTTAGACTCTTTTGTTTAGCAGACACTCACTCAAAGCCATAAACTGATAGTTTTCCGTTCTAGCAGACATGTTTTATATACCTGAAGCAGCTCCCAACCAGCACCATTGCCAAGATCCAGGAAATCAATGGCATTAACTAATCTGTCATCTGCTACACAGTACCTATGAACAAAAGCAATGACCAAATAATTGAGCATAAATATCCAATTTCACTAGGCATTTGCTTCTTCAGAGCTTACACGCTAGATAAAATGCAAATAGTTTACGCGAACCAAATTTTAGATACAACTAGTTCTTAAAAAAATCATCTTAAAGATGAGCTTTTTCTCAATCCAACTTTTTTCCATACTCCTTCTCTCCCTTTTTGCTCTCCTTTCGGTAGATTTAAGAATCATTATAAGAAAAAACACATTTGTATGAGTTAGGAAGCACCCATTTGTCCTATAATCAATAAAGCATGCCAGAATTTCTATGTCAGATACACACTATTGTTGCATTTATTCATTTAAAGAATTCAATATTAAAATTAGGTTGTGTTTGGTAGACATGTTAGAACAAGATAGAACAAAACAAGTGAGTTCTGTTCTATGTTCGACAGGGTTTTGCTTCCGCATAAAAAAACCCTAGCCGCTTTAAAAAAAAATCTTCTTTCTCTCCATGGTTGACTTCAAAGATGAAATAGATAATTACAAGTCTGAATCAGAATTACCAAAAATTCCTTCGGCTTACAAGTTGCGTGAAAATAATTATTTGAAATGGTCTCAATTGGTGAAAACAACCTTGAAAGGTATAGGGAAAACAGGACACCTAACAGACGAACCTCCCGAAAATATGGATTCCAAGTTTCAGAAGTGGGTTACGGAAGATTCCACCATCATTGCATGGTTACGACGATCAATGATTCTTGAAATCGGTGACACTTGTATGTTCCTAAGTACGGCAAAAGAGATTTGGAAAGCATTAGAAAAGACTTATTCTAAAGGCAAAGATGCTGCCCAAATATATGATGTGAAGATGAAAACACTAGCAGCTAAATAAGGAAACAAAACAGAAGATTCAAGGAGTACATTGTGAAAGACAGAGTCTATGATTTTTTGGTGGGACTCAACTCTGACTTTGACCATGTTAGAACACAAATTATTGGCAAAGAAAAAACACCGAACATTAATGAGGTAATGGCTATAGTGAGGAGTGAAGAAAGTAGAAGAGGGTTAATGCTAACAACACCACTTGTGGAAAACTCAACAATGCTAGCTGAGAAGAATTCAACCATGATGGTTGATAAGAAAAATGGGGAGGAACCTATGTTGTGAAGAAGAGCGAAAGGGTGTGGTGTACTCATTGCAACAAGCCTCGTCATACTCGAGAAAAATGTTGGAACTTGAATGGAAAACCTCCTAATAGAGAGTGGGGACAAAAGGGAGACTTATCAAGAAAGGGAGGACATGCCCACCTGGCTGGAAGTACTAGTGGAGACAGTCTAGAAGGAAGGGGTGCAACTTAACCTAAGTGAAGTAGAAAAGGTGAGATCTCTCCTAAGTAAGTTGGAGAAACCAACAAGTACTTGTTCTCTAACATCCAGGTACGTTTTTATTTCCCTTTTCTTTTGACAAATCTCCATTTTTGTTTGGACTTAAATGCTTTAAATATATCCTTTAAACTGGATATTTGATTCTGGAGTCACCGATCACATGACACCCTTACCCACACACTTTTCTACTTATCCACTTTGCCCCAGTAACAAAAAAATATTCACTACAAATAGTACTCTTATAATTGTAGCAGGTGAAGGAACAATTAAAATTAACTCATTCATGACCCTTAAGAACGTCTTTCATATCCTAAAATTGTCTATTAACCTAATTTTCATACAAAAACTCAGAAAAACCTATCATGTAATGTAAATTTTTTATAACTCTTGTGTTTTTCAGGACAAGAATTCAGAGAGGACGATTGGAAGTTCTAAAGAATGGAATGGTCTTTACTACTTAGATAACAAAAATCAAAACTCAGATTTTCTAAGTAACAATTCCTTTTTTTTTTTTCCAGAATCAATAAAGACCAATAGGGAGAAAGTTCTCTTATACCATTGTTGCCTGGATCATCCTTCATTTAAAATCATTAAGCAGTTATTTCTTGTTTTATTTAAAACATTAGATGTTGAGAGTCTTCAATGTGAAGTGATAGGGTTTGCTAAACACAAGCGTGTACCTTTCCGTTAGTAATAAAATGAGTAATTTTTCGTTTTATCTAGTTTATACAAATATGTGGGGTCTATCTAATATTCCAAATATTTCAGGTTCCCGTTGGTTCATAATTTTTATTGATGATTGTACTCGGGTTACTTGAGTCTACTTTATTTAAACAAAAATCTAAAGTTAGTCGTGTAGTTCCTCAATTTATCTCCTTGGTTAAAAATCAATTTGGTATGAATATTAAGAGGATTCGGTCTAATAATGCTAAAGATTACATTAATCATAATCTTAATTCTCTATGTCAAAATGAACGTATCACTCATGAGTCTTCATGTGTTAAAACACCCCCAACAAAATGACATTGCTTAGGGAAAAAATGAGCATTTGTTAGACCAAACATGTGTTATGATATTTCAAAATAAAGTTCCCAAAAAATATTGGGGCAAGGCAGTTTTAGTTGCATCGTATCTCATAAATTGTTTGCCTTCTCCTGTCCTTGCCTCCAAAACTCCTATGAAAGTCTTATCCCCATTCTATCTAATTTGTCCACCTTTAGCAAACTCACTCCTAGAATATTTGGGTGTACGTTGTCCGTCCATATTCATATTGATGGTAGAGGGAAACTTGATCCTAGAGCCTTAAAGTGTGTCTTCATAAGATATTCTTCCATCAAAAGGGTTATAAATGTTATCATCCACCATCTCATAAATTTTGTCTCTCGAGAAGTCACTTTCCATGAACAAGAAAGTTATTTCGTTCAAACTCATCTTTAGGAGGAGAACGTAAATAAGGAAGATGAGTCCCTCCTATTTGCCGACCTTACCCTTAGACCAAAAGTTGAGGTTGAAACTAGTATTGACAATGTTGGGATTGAACTTGATTTTGAAAAAGATGAAAATGTTGAAATTGATATAAGATATAGAAAGAATTTAGTATATACAAGAATGAAGACTATTCCTGAATTTACTCATATCCAAGAGTCTGATCCGACATTACATGAGCTAAATTCTGCTAGCCCTTCAAACCCTAGTGATTCCGTTTTTGAATTTTCTCATGAACTGGAACCAGAATCCAACTCAATTCCACCACCACTACCACCGCACTATAAAGATTTACATCTTCCAATTGCCCTTAGGAAAGATACCAGAAACTGCACTAAAAAGCTGCTTTACCATCTATCCAACTACCTAAATTTTGAACACGTTTCACAAATTTTACCATTATAACAATACCTACCCCTCTATAACTGAGGCATTGTCTGGCAGGAAATAGAAACAAGTCATGAATTTGGAAATGAAGGCACTGAATAAGAACAATACTTGGGAATTGATTTCTCTACCAAATGGATGAAAACCTGTAAGATGCAAATGAGTATACATTGAAATACAAGGCGGATGGGTCTATTGAGAGGTACAAAGGAAAATTGGTAGTCAAAGGATTCATTCAAACCTATGGAGTAGATTATTCAAAAACATTTACTACAGTTGCAAAAATGAATACTCTCAGAATGATATTATCTACAGCGGCTAATTACAATTGAAATTTAAATCAGTTTGATGTGAAAAATGAATTTCTTCATGGCGAACATGAAGAAGAAATCTACATGGATGTACCTCCTGGGTTCCATGAACATATTGCCACCAACATTGTGTGCAAGTTAAGAAAATCTTTATATGGGTTAAAGTAATCTCCACGAGCATGGTTTGGAAGATTCACTAAAGTTATGGTAGGTTTGAGCTTCAAACAAAGTCAAAAAGATCATATACTATTTAACAAACATTCTGAAACAAGGAGAGTAAGTGCTTATTGGTGTACGTGGATGATATTATAGTCACAAGTAATGATGAGGAAGGACAACAATGGTTGAGCATACACTTAGCCAAAAAATTTGAGAATAAGACCTGGCAGAAATTGAAACACTTTTTAGAAATTAAAGTTGTCCACTCTAAGAAAGAAATTTTCATATTTGAACAAAAATACATTACTGATCTTTTGCAAGAGACGGGCAAGACAACATGCAAACTTGCAAATACATCAGTTGATCCAAGGGAAAAGTTGGGAAATGCATAAGATGTTGTGGTTGATAAGGAAATGTATCAGAGATTAGTCATAAAACTTATATACCTCTCACATACTAGACCAAATATTGCTTTTTCCATTAGCATTAGCTTAGTCTGCAAGTTCATGCATCGACCAATGGTGATTCGTTTACAATATGCGCTCCGAATTGTATAATATTTGAAAGAAACACCTTGTAGAGGAATTTTATTTGAAAGAAATAGGAATGTGAATCTTGAAGCACATATTGATGCCGACTATGCAGTGTCAATTGTATGAAAGAAATAGGAATGTGAATCTTGAAGCATATATACTGATGCCGACTATGCAGGGTCAATTGTAGATAGGAGATCAACTACAGATTATTGTACTTTCTTAGGTGGAAATCTTGTGACTTGGAAGAATAAAAAACAAAGTGTAGTATCCAGATCTAGTGCTGAAGTAGAGTTAAAGGCAATGACACAAGGGATATGTGAATCACTGTGGCTGAAATTGTTGATCTTAGAAGATTTGAGGATAAAGTGTGATGAACCAATGAGAATTTATTGCGATAATAAATTTGTTATTAGCATAGTCTATAACTCATTGCAACATGACAAAACCAAATATATTGAAGTTGACAAACACTTTATTAAAGAAAAATTAATCAGTGGTCTTATTTACGCTCCATATGTGTCCTTTCAAGGCAATCTTGTAGATCTTCTAATAAAAAGGATGAACAATAATTTTGAAAGAATTATTTTCAAGCTGAGAATGATAGACATGCATTCACCTGTTTGAGGGAGAATGTTGTAAACAATTTATTTTATTATTGCTACTTTTAATATTATGCGTAGTAATTCATGTTTTGATCTTTAATAAGGTTCCATTAAATCAGAATACTCTATCTAAAGAAATTAGTGCTTGTATATTCATCATAAATAATATTTAGATTTAACACATTTCCTCGATGTACCACTAATCTAGTTTGCAAAACACCTGGCAAATCTCTAAGTTTAATCTATTTGTTTTTTGTTTGTTACCCAAGCCCATAATTAATAAGTATAGCACAACCAAGGAAAACTAGATTATAAAATAACAAACGTCTACTCCCTGTAATAGTTAAACCAGAAATATAGACTAAAAGCTATCTTACTCTCGCATTGCTTCAAGATCAAGCCGAAAAGTGTTCTCCAAAAGCCTCTGAAATTCATGGCGAATAAATAATTCAGTGAGGATATTATCTTATAATAAGGAAAATTAACTGAAAAATCATCAGGTACTGAAGTCTCTGAAGACAAAGTCTGATTGGCAGCATAGCTTACTTGCAAAGAAAGGCCATCCATTACACCAGCTTCACAAAACGGAACAAAAGCCAGGTATGCAAAAAGAAGGCCTGCCTCATATCTGCAGTGTAATTGATAAAAGTCACCCAAAAAGACTCTGAAACAAACTTCTGCACTAACCCAACTTCTGCGTTAACCCAAGTTCATATGACTCACATGTCATCGGCTATTCCAAAAGCTCTTTTCTCTAAATAAGTGAATGCACTAGCTGCTGAAGCTCGTGCCCAAAGACCTTCCGTAAGTGGTCCTGAATCCTCTAGTTCTGAATACCTGGAATGATTTAAATAAGAGCACTGCTATATGGTACGAAAACATGGATATCTATCTATCCACAGAGTATCTGTGCAAGTTAGGTTAACTGAAGACAAAATAGCTTGGCAAGTCATTACCTTACCTAACACTAACAGAAAAAGCTAAATCCTTAAGCCTTGGAATCAAATAGGGAGACTCTCTTTCATAAATTGTGCTGCCGTCATTTTAAAATTAAGCACATTAATGATAGAGTGAGAAGGAAATATAACCAAATGGAAAACATAGAACAAAACTAAATGCATGCTAGTTACATACTTGAGAGATACAGAAAATGGCCCAAGACTCTGGTGCAATCTATCATGATGATGCATGTAAGCTAAACCTCTGAAAGCACCCTGAAGAAGTGTTATAATGAAACGCCGTCTTCTTTTCATTGCCTGTCCTTGTTCAAAGCTATTCCATGAAGAGAGTTTCGACATCTTCTCACTCGCAACTTTTGCATAGTCTGCTGCGCTAGATTTCCCGTAATCACGAAAAGCAAGCCACTGGATGAAATAAATGTATCCAACATGATTAGCAGAAGTGGAGGATAAAAATGATAATGTCAAATTGAGAGTAGAAAGTAAACCTGCTCTCCGGTAGTGGTTTCAAAGCCACCTAAAAGTAACATAAGATGCTGACTCATACCTTTAGAACTGCTCTGTAAGAAATAGAAAGAAATGAGAAAGTGGTAACACTATGAACTGATATGATATGATATGAAATGGTTAAAGTATCTCACTTGAAGGAACATGTGGGAATTCAACTCGTTTGCAGCCATCATATCTGCCACAACTCCGCCGGCTCGCGTTCCAGGATAAACCTTAAAGAGAACAGGTGTTTGCCTAAGGGGACCTTGAGAAACCCTACCTTCATAAAGCCTGCAATGGGAATGAGCATTAATTGATTAATCCAAAAATGAATCCCTTAAAGTAAAGTAAAGTACCTGATTTTGACGCTACCTTCTTGAACATCTTGAGTTTTGAATCCTCCTCCTTCTCCAAATGAATACTGATCAGTATTAGCAGTAGTGACGTTCATGAAACCATAGTTTCCGATGGGTCTACCAACTTGGAACCAATCGGAGTTTGTGATAAGTGTCGCATTAGCTTTAACTTTGAGAATTCGAATATTGCAAGTGTGTGATGATGTCAATGTGGGAAGAGGAATAGCAGCTGCAGCGGCAAAAACCATGCTTTGGTAAGTTTGCAACGCTTTGCTTCAGATAAGAATTGTATGATTTTCATTACCAAGTGTCTCTCACCAAGGCAATTTGTTTAAGTTTTTCTAACAATAATTTTTCATATGTTAAAACTATCTATTTAATTTTATTGAAATACACCTAAAGAATAAAAGGATTTTCACGGTCAATTAATTATAAATTTTGAATTTTATTTTAACCATCTATAAATAATCCAAACACGTGATGGTGATGAATTCACAGCGTAAAAGTTTTTATAGTGGCAGTGCTAACTTCAGTTAATAATATTTATAAAAAAAACATTTTTGTTACAAAAATCATCTACAATTTTTTTTATTTTTAAAAACCACATTTGTTTGTTGTTCTGTGCGGGAATCAAAATTGATAGTTGATCGGTGGATATGGATTGCAGTTGTGGACTTGACCTTCCGATGTGGTGTAAGAGAAGCTAACATGCATGCTTAACACGTCAAGACTCAAGTCGGTATCTACAGCGGTAGAAATGTTAAAGATCGAGTCATTGAATTGACTAGACTTATACAGATCAAAATAAAAATAGTCACCGCGCTTTATTATTTCTAAAGGAATGGGAAAAGAGCGAATAACCTAAAAGAGGGGGGGAAGATTCTATGTAAGAGGGTTGATTATGCAAAGAGAATATATTAACACCCTAAACATCTACGGTACTCCGCATGAACCTCTTTGAAAAATCTGTATATTTTGCCTATAAAATGCTGTATAAAAATAGATGGTGGAGGTGAGAAAAGAAATATTTTTTTAATGATTTTTGCACCCGCCGCGGTTGCGAACATTTAATGCCTACGTACCATCTTCCGTGCAATAGAGGATCAGGGTACACGTAGTTCACCTTTTAAAAATTTTAAAACACATATGTGTTGGTTAATTTTATGAGATAAGACATCATCGTCATTGTTCGTGTGGAAAACATACTTACTACCTACAATCATGAGAAATGAGTATTTGCATGATCTCAAAGTGGAGGATATGGCTTGGATTTTAAAATCAACAACGCCTCACTCAACACCTAAGTGAAAAATATCTCTCTTCACTACATATTGTAGAAGTATAGTTGTTTGCATCACTACAAGGATTGACAAGAGTCCAATCTTTTGAGAAAAGTTTTTAAAATAAAAAGACAAAGTGGCAAAAATGGTATGAAATGAGATTGATTGACTTTTAGTCTTCTCACAAAAAATGTCAAGGTATTATTAAATTGGTTAGAGTTTATTCATGAAAATATTTTGAAAATGCATATACCTAAGTCCAAGTTTATTATGAAAATGGTTCAAGTTTCAAAACAAGAAGAGTTTTCAAAAGGAGGGAGGAGATTTTTGAAATTAAAGAAGATGGGAGAAGAAGAAGAGACTATCCTAAAGCATGAGGTAAAAGCTAGGGAGAAGAACCATCTAACCAACAAGAAGCCAATACTTGACATTATGAGTCAAGATAGAATTCTCATTCTTTGGGTTGAAATCAAACAAACAAAGATACTAGACCCCTTGAGAGAACCAAGCTTCAAATGTATTAAGTCTTCACAAAAATTGGGCAGAGTAACGGCTGTATACGGGTGAATTCCATATTACAAACAAAGTATGTAGTCACAATAACCTGCACACAAAACAAACAAACAATCCAATATCTTGAGGCAAACCTCAAGAACTTCAGACAAAATATCAATTAAGGACATAAAGTCTCCAACATAGGCCAAGGTTTCTAACCCTAAGTCCAAAAAGTCCAATACTTCATAATGCCAATGATAGTAACCAAATAGTCTAAGTATCATTAAAGCTTTTTATGGTTCATGTTGATTATTAGGTGTATTGAAAAAGAAGAGAAAAGCTCAAGTGAGCAAAATAAAAATAACAGGAATATAAATGCTCAAGTGAGCAAAATAAATATGGCATGAAATGTAATGCTTAAAGTAAATGGTACATAAAGCATAAAGTAGAACAATTTAATAATTAGTGGTTAGTTGGATGACCATCTTGAAACTTGTATTTGGAACTCATTAGAGGATTGGTAGAACAAAAGCCTCCACATAACAAGTTGCATTTTCTTTTTGTCAAGTATATCATCAATTTGGAATTCTCACAAATATCTTTTAATGATCAACAATATTTAAGTGATCCGCGTTGATCAAAAGTGTTGTAGATCTATTAGAGGATTGGTAGAAACAAAGCCTCCACACAATGAATCTCAAAGTTATTGGATCAAAGAGATCAAATTAACATACTTGGGCTTGAAAACATAGGTTTAGGCCACGAATGATCATTTATTTGAATCGGGACAAAATTTAGCGCTATGTTAAGCAATCGTAAGTGGACTTATATAGAAGTCGCACCTATTTTGAGACCGGTCAATAGCAATATATACACCATTTGTTTTGAGACATGATATAGAGATCATGCTCCAATAACACTTAGTGCAATAAGAAAGGGATGAGATGAAGAAGGGTGAGAAAGAATACAAACCACATTTGAATTAAATTTTAATCAAATTATTATTAAAATCACTCATCCATTTTTATGGAGTTAAACTCAACACCATGGATTCAATGATGTTAACAAAGTTCATGGTAAAAAATTCAACCCAAGATCAGCCAGAAAATAATCACAAAATAATATTGTACTTAATATATACATTAAAAAAAGGTTTTAAAAATGTTTTAAAATGAAAATAAGAAAGGAAAATATCAACTATGTTCAAACTAATCAAGAAAAAATAAGTAGGACCATAGAAAAATCAGAAATGGACTCAAATATTTTTATAAAATTTTTGGTAATTTTTTAAAGTCATAAACTGTTTTTAAGCTAATTAAAATTGCTCAAATAAATAGAAAATAGATAAAAAATAGTAAAAATCAATATAAAATTCCATAAAATTTTCAAAAAGTCATAAATATATAAAATGATATTTATAAGATTTTTTAGAATTAAAAAAATGTCAGAAAATATTTCTAAAGTAATTAAAAGGAAGCAAATAATGCAAAAAATATAAAAAATATCAAATGTCAAAATAAAAATATGAAAAAATAGTCATGATATCAGAAATAATTCAAAGTATTTTTGTGAATTTTTTCATAATTTTTGGATAAAAAATAAAAGAGTTATGAATTTTTGAAAATTAAATCAATTAAAATATAAAATAAAAAAATAAAATAAAACCAAAAAGATATGGGCCATCAGATCATAGTCAAAACGCGTTAGTAAGCTAATTCAATGGACCAGGCGTGTTGTGCTTGATATGGACCTTAGTGAGATACACATAGGATCATAAAAAGGGCAACCAATGAAATTAAAACGTTTGGCACGCTATCATTGGCTGAGACGAGACATGTCATCATCTTCAACCTCCAGCCACCCTGCAATGGGGATTTTGTGAGATCTTTCAAATGGAAAAATTAGGATTCCAGACCAGTATCATTGAATTTGTCTCTTCAAGACGATCCTAACACCACCATCGCGCCAAATTTATATAAGGTATGCAAAGAGATATGAATCAAAAACCCAGAAAATAACGAGCACCTTCAATTTGAGATTTCTCTCTCAATTCTCAATGGATTTAAAAATTGTAAGAAGCACAAGAATCATGAGAAGGAGTAGAACCGGTTAGTGCTTTATTTGGATCCAAATGGTGGAGAATTCTACCTTTTCGAAGTTCAAGAAAGAAGCTCTGAAACTGGACTTCTGTAGCTTGAATTATAGCTCGTTTTGCTTGGTTTAAGTGCTGGAGAGTTTGTATGATGCTTGAGGAAGATGAATGTGCAAAGAAATTTGGAAGAAAAGGCTGGAATCTCAGAAACTGATTTCAAAAATTTGAAGTTCATGTGAGGTTTTGACAGAGTATATTTGGCTCTCAAAGCTTGAGAAAATGAATGGGGGATGACCCTCTATTTATAGGGAATCAAATGGAATGTTCAAACGTGTGAAATGATGAAGTTTGGAGAGAAATCGTGTGAACCTGATGCACGAGCAAAGTGTGATCTGATTTGCATCAAAACTCATCTAATCCTTGTGTTTTAAGGCTCTAATCCATTTTGGCAACTTGGTTAAACATGTTTAGATCACAAACGCGTGCTAATTTGATGTTTAGAGGCCAAAACATGAATTTCAAATTCTGACTTATGAAGAAACTTCAGTTCCAAGTTACCAAGTTCAATCCAATGGCATTCTCAGCTCAAGGGGTCTTAAGGAATGATTCTTGATGCTTTATAAAGATGAGATTACAAGCTTTGCAATGGAAAAAGAATGGAATCAAATGGATGCTTTAGCTGAAAGTTGCATTGAGTCAAAGTTGGGGGAAAAGGTTGACTTTCCATACTTAGAAATATTTCAAATTTTTCTTCAAAAGTGACATATAATGTTTTGCATCCAAACATGGCCTTCCACTTGGGATTTGCTCTTGACCAAAAAATATGGCATGAAATAGACCTATTGAATGACATTTTGAAACTTGAACCATTCAAAATCTCCAAAAATTGAGAGAGTTGTGAATTGTTGAAGTTGGCAAAAAAACATGGAATGACGTATAATCTTTTGTATCCTTAGGGAATCTTCCATCCATTTTATCACTTTGCACATGAAATAAGGAATATAGTTCACATCCTCAATATCATTGTGGAAAAATAGTGGGCTCAATGTGATAAAAATTGACCAAGTTATGATCATTTGAAGTCACACATGGGAAAATGGGGGTTCATCTAGAGGACTTGTACTCTTTCTTCATCATCAAGTTTCTTCCACATGAAAACTCCTTGAAACTTTTGAAGTGATTTGTTAGTAACCCTTTGAAGAGAAGGATGTCTTTGGAATCAATCAAAAATACCAAAATATGAGCAAGATATACTTCTTTGAAGTTCAAAACCCTAGCTCATAGATCAAGAAAATGCTTTGAGGAACTTTGACAATTTTGAACACCCTTCTTGTATCAACAGTTTTGCTTTGTAAATAGAAGTTATTGAGGATGATAATGA